GTCGGGCCACTGTTCTTATTCAGTGGGTGGGTGGGGAGGGGGGAAATTAAACGTCTGTACTACTCAGCGTTGGGCACAGCCACTGATGTTATTTTTAGATCGAAAGCATTGCTCACGTATCTCTGCCATATCGTATGATGCATTCTGCCTGGAGAAATACATTCGAAAATGCTGACCTCCTCCAGCCACGAGGAAATAATTGATGCTAAAAGATGCTGGCACTCTGTGGCCTCAAGTGCAGTCAAAACAGTCGTTCTGCTGCCTTCAGATATATTAAAGTACAATTGTATAAACACATGAATTATATTGTGGAATAGCTCTCATGGCTTCCCATTCACCTTATTTATGACTATAAATCATACTCATTCATTTTCAAGGGGTTTTAACTAATCTACAACCTTGATGAATCTACATTGCAACAACATTAACGCAACTAATCTTCTTCATGCCCTTGCTGAAAGAGCAGACTGTAATTATAATTACAACTGTAAACTTTTTTTGCTTCATAATATTTAGATGAAATGTTCTAACACTAGTCGCCTATTTGGAGGACTATCCATATTGTTTGTGTGAAGTGAAATGTGAGATTGGAAAGCCAGAAATTCAAGCATCTGGCTAATTGTTGAGTTATTTGTACTGATCAAAAAACCCAGCGAATTCCCTGCTGGTTTGATAATAGTTTGTTATCAAGCAGTAGAAATCTTGCTTTGACATTTACACACAAACTGAGGAATTGAATGATGATAATTATGAATCATGTTGCTTTCACTGTTCTCCAGGAGACAACAATAACTGAGATCAAGCAGAAGATCATGAAGATCCCAGAGGCTAGTGGTATCGTCATAGATGGCTTCCCTCGAGACGTCGGACAAGCCCTGTCCTTTGAAGACCAGGTGAGTTCAAATGTAGAAGATTGCCTCTAAAAGTGTTTTCATACTTTGTCCAGATGCTTGAGTCCATACTTACGGAAGCCGAGAACGGCTGTGCTTGCAGTAGTTTTTTTTTATATCCTGTTTCCCAATATCCTGGGTTAATTTATCTTATTTTCTCAAGACATCCGAAGGCCAATTTTTCAAGATAACGGAAATATATATATAATATGTGAGAAAATGACTTTTGTTTTGTTGTGATCACGGGATAATTATTGAGAATTTAAAAATGAGCGTTTGGTTCATTTGATTACACCTGATTTCAGCCTTCAAGATCACCGTCAGACTGTACGGGAGGATTCATAACTAAACTCGACAGAGTTGTTATAAGAATGTACATCTGAGAATTAATATAAGCTGTTAATTTCCCGGAAATGTAATGCAATACTGGCAAAGTATATCAGGAGAAAACTGATATTTATTGAATGAGCTCAAACATTCATGCAATGCAATGCAATGATACTTTTTCCTGGCTGATGGCTAATTTTCGTCAGTATGAGAATGAATATTAACTGACACATTGCATGTCATCCATGCATTGTCTATTATGTTGAACCAATTGATATGCCATCCATGCATGCTGGCAAACAACCCTTTTTTCTTGTGATATGGGGTTAATTATCCCGTTATCTCGGCATGACAAAGCTTGTCTTCTCCACATCTCAAAATAATTAACTTGTGATCTCAAGATAACAGCATTTAAAAAAAGAACTGCGAGCACGTTCGCAGCTTCCATACATTCTTTTTCTTTTTCAGCTTTTATTTGATAGTACAGCTGGAGACAGACAGGAA